ATTCAGTGGGAGAAGAAAGAGAAAGGTAAACAGTGGAAATGAGCAACTTTAACCCATACGTGCATGTCACTCGTTTTTTTTTCTATGTATAGCATTTCCGTCAAATCTGTCGAAATTTACGATTTCTCTGCTTAGGTAGAAACGTGAAATAAGGTTAAACTAGCTTCGTTTTAAAAAATTTATACCGTTAATTATTTTAAAAACAAAAGTTCTTACAACTACCATTAATATTTTACTGAGAACACGCTAAACAAGTTCTTTGAGACTTATCAGAGAAGATGTGCAATTTTCAAGTTGATTTGGTGTTGAGGTGAATCCATCGAGAAGCCACAAGAATATTAATAATACTTATTAAGTCATCGTATATATTCTTAAGGACCTAGCAAAGATTTTCAAATGAAGATAGAATTTTGTATTATAAAGGATTAAAATCTGTAAACTAAATAATAAACTTAACTCAAATAATAAGGAAACATAATTATTAGAATAAATTTTGTAGCCTTGGAAGCTAGAACAGTACAAAAAGTTTATTGTCAAGTTTACTATTAAAACGAGATATAGTAATGTTGAACTAGAAAGTATGAGCGGTAACATTTCAGAATATACGGAGAGTAGATGCATAAGCATCGCAAGGCATAGTAAGCTTTTAAGACTGAAGAGACAAATTCCTGTAAAACCAAGAATAAGTTAGATATACATTTTGCAACAAACATTCTAGCAAACAATGTTATCTACCAAAGTTTAGCAGTTTTAGTGTACAGAAAAACTTGAGTCTTTTCTAAATGAAAATCGTCAGCGTACTGGTTTTATCTACTAATTAAGTGGATTATATCTACAGGTGGATTTTATCTATATGTAAAAAAATGATCTTTACAATATCATATCAACCATAATTTCCAAACTGCTTAATAGATTCGTAAGCTGTAGGAAAAGGGCTCATGTATTTTAACACTTTATATTCAGTCATACTTTTGACATAAGACGGTTTTGAAAATAATAAAAAAGTATAGGATACGAGTATATACATTTTAAAATGATTTGTTGCGATTTTAAGCCTAAAAGGGTCAAATTATATAAAATATTATCTGAATTACAAATAAACTTTGATTGTCTTTGCTATTTTATTTTTTAATATTTATATTATACCCCGTTTCTTACGGATTAGAAGGGCTTCTGACATGATTTCGAGAATTAATACATGTTTTTAACTTTTATCAGATTTAGAACAAAATTTAAAATACCCTTTTATATAGTTGTTTACAATAATTCTTATGTATACTACATTGAAAACATCATTGAGTTTGTTTTATTTAACTACATTAATTCTATTTCATTTCCAATTGTCTCTACTTCTTCGTCACTTTTAAGCCTTGAGTCCCTTGCATGGCAGCTCACATTATCACTTTTTCCGACACTATGTATTTCTACATTTAAACCAACACTAACTCACGTTTAACTCAACACTTATCGATCTTTTATTTCATCTTTCACCAATATCTTTATTTTAAATTTCCTCTAGCTTGCTTGCAAACTTCTAAGCTTCTCCAATTTCATGCCTATCTATCGGAAATTTGTTGTACCCTATTCGTGCTCACTTACTCTTGCTTTTTTTTTTCCATTGTTATTATCACTGCTTTTCTTTGTATTTATCTCCCTGTTATAGTCATCTGATTGTCTATAAAAATACTATGGGATAGCAAGATTTTTTTTTTAAATTTTACTTTTTGTTGTATTCTGTGACCTTGCTACCGTAATGTTGTCATGTTTGTCCTTTTTCTTAAGGACATATGCTTTTGCCATTCAAACAAAAATTTTTAACCGGTTGATTAAAAACTGCTACACTTTATTTACTTATTTTTCCTTACTAAATTTTTCACCCTTGATAACTATATTATGCTACCTTTGGTCTCTTCCTACCCCTCTTGTCAGTCTAGTTGACCAGTTCCATTCTCTTAATTAATCTAGCTATTTTCTACGTCTACTTTTCTTCTTTGTTCATTTGGTCCTCTGTTTTCTTTTTTTCCTCCTTTCTCCATGCTTTTTGTAGCTTCTATATTTAGTTCCTAGTTTTTGTCTGTATCTCTTCGATTCCTTTTTTTACTTTGTTTTTTCAGTTCACAATTGGCTCTTCCAAATAAGCTTTACCTTTTTCGGAACTCAAAACAATAGCTTTCGAATACTGCAATTAATTTACTTCTCGTGCCCATATTGCTTTGTTGTACCGTCTTCTGCACTTTAATCTCAAACTGCGTCTGTTTTTTTTCACTTCCATATTCGTATGATGCTCCTCGAGTATTCAATATTTTTTTCACTGCCACTTCTCTACTTGATATCTTTAGTATTTAGTTACAACCCGCTTATCAGGGTGGGCGGCTTTGAACGGCGAAGGGGGGTTGGAGGTGGCGTGAATCACTTTCGAAAGTGTCGGAACAGCTGTCAAGATTGACGAACAAAGAGAATGCTGTGATAGAGGTTCTGGACGTGGTGAGACAACTGCTTCTCCTGAGATACAAATTGTCGCTAGAACTGGTGGGTGACTGGCCAGTAAAGTGCAGTGTGTAAAGTTAGTCGTGTACCAGTGTGATGGATGTTTGATTACCTTATTTGTTGGACGATTGTGCAAAGAGAATGTGTAATGATAGACGAGAGCAGGTAAGAGAAGGGGGGAGACACAGAGAGAGAGAGAGAGAGAGAGAAAGAGAGATATTACACGGTCGTGTACGTATAAAGTAACATTTATTTAACATACCCTGCTCGTGCCACTGCCGATTCGTAGGTTTCGTCGAGCGAGCGAAGATCTACCGTAGGATAAAGATCAAGTGATCTGCTTAGATGCTTTTATGTCGTCACACAGCCTTTTTTATATACAAGAAGCTACTTTATTACTTGAACTATTGAACTTAATGGTCAATAATTATTTCAATGATGAACAATTAATAAAATAATACCCAGAATGGTAACAATACAGTAACATAACAATTTTTGCAAGACGTTGTACAATTTATGGCCCAATCTTTGAAGAAAACAAAGTTACACACTATGTTAAAATAAGGAGAAAATATGGTGTCACTCAAAAGTATTTATCCAGAAACCATTGAAAGTGCTGAAGGCGTGCCAAGTAGTTCTGTAATGTTCGGACATTAGAGAGAGGGGTGTTCTGACGGGTGGTATAACGGGTTAATTTAGCACTTTATATTTCAATCAAATAAATTACTTATACTCTTTTATTATAATAACCATTACTTTTTTATTTATTGTATAGTACTGTCGCTTCAATTTTTCGACATTTTTTAATCCAAAAAAGTTATGGTTGAGTGGAAATAAATTTGATAGAATTAGGACTTGAAACATATGCGACGTCGATAACTTGAATGCTTAATTTTTGACAACAAATAAATAGGCAAAGGTATCAAATTTAGTTACATTTAAAAGCTTCGATCAAGAGATTCAATGAGGATCTCTCGTGCAAAGGTGCCAATCTACGTCGTAGTTTACACATTTTCTTGTAAACTTAGGTATAATTGGCATCACTGGCCCAGGGGAACATAGGCTAACCTATAGAAATAAAATAATTTAATCAATTTTTAATAGAACATCTTAAAATTTTCCACGAAAACCGTTTTCATTGCGTATGCGAGCTTATGATAAAAATGCGTATTAGGACGTGCTGTGTGAAATCAATAATATTTTGAAATTTTGTAGTGAAAGTGATATAAATAATTATATCACTATACAGTCTTGCTTTCCTAACTTAACTTGACATTTTCCAAAGCTAAGTTTTTTTGTGTTGCTAGTGATAGTATTCAAGTAAGCAGGACTTTTTTGTGCAATCTAATAATAATAGTGAACGTCAGTTAGCAGCTAGTGAGCTTTGTTTAAATTCTAGTTTATTTTAATTAATTTTTTTCACTATTAAGTATTAATAATTACTTCATTAATAGTTTGATAGGTACCAAAAAAAATTTTAATCTTATGATGAGATTCAAATGGATATTGACATATTTCTGTAAATAATAAAAGAACTAACTCAAAGTTTAAAATATTGTAGATAAGAGTATTCTAAGCATTTTGGATGTACCTAGAAATACTAAAAAAAAGTAATATATAAGCAATACGGAGCAGTTCAACACTACTTACATGGGGCAGCAATCAAAATAACCTAATAAAACTTATTTCAAATAACAAAAGTAGATTTTTTTTTGATGATTTGAAAAAAAAAAAAAAATAATATTTTCTTGAGAATCGAACTAGCAATCTTCATGCTAGCTAAGTACCCTATTTATTCTGCTTAAGACAGAAATATCTAGGGTAACGTCTTTAACTAATTTTATAAAAGGATATTTAAAATGTCTATGAAATTCAATAAATGTACGTATCTTTCTATTGTTGAAAAAAATAGGTATTTGTCACCTTTAACATTTAAAATTGTACCCCAAATGCCTAGTTTTATACCATAACCAATTTTTTCCCGATCTTTTCATGCTTGCCTAATCCTAGGCTGGAACCCACTTTATCTTATGGGAAGGCAAAATGGTCTTTTCAAAAAGTCATAAAAATGTTTTTTACAATAATATCGTTTTAATTTCACTTTGATTTTAATAAATACTGTTCTGAAAGTTTTTTACTATGACGAAAATATTTATGAATAATATGAAAAATAATAAAATGATCATGAGAGGTAAGTATATCAAGTGCACCCGTACCAGTTTTTTCGTTCTTAAAACAACTGTAAATACTGTGACTGAGAGGCACTATAAAAGGCAATGTAATACTTTAAAATTTTTTAATTAAAAAAAATTTTTTTACTTGCTCTTAGTATATACTTAAAATTTCGCATTTTACTCTAATTCTTAATGGTTTGATTCACAATCAGAGCAATTTAATTATGTCTAAAATTACGTTTCACGCAAAAATGACACATTAAAGTTTCTTTAATTTCTTGTACAAAATTTTTTTACAAATGATCGATCTTAATGAAAAAGAATGTATATTCTTATTACCTGATTTGTAGAAGAAGTTTGGTTGTATATGACAGGCGTAGCAGATGACGTGGGCGATGTTTGACTGTAAGTTGCCATATTTGCTTGTGTAAAAGAAGTGCTGTAAGATGTTTGAGTGGCTGGTGTGGTAGAAAAATTACTTGTATTACAATTAGATGTTGAAGATGGAAAAGATGTTTGATGAGACTGAGAACTACAAGAGTATGGGCTATATGAATTTACTGGAGCAGACGTTGAATACGAAGATTTACTTGTTTGAAAAGCTGGCGTTTCGGTGAAACTAGGAGTGTTATGAGACGTTTGAATATTAACATCTTGTTTCTGTAGATCAGCTGACTGGCTAGGAGAACTTAAATTCATAAATGCACTTTTCGTGTTGATAGTTTTGTCATTTGGTGCACATTGATCATCACCATGTAACTGCAATAAAAACATTCAAACGACATTATTGTGATAGATATTATGCAGCATCATTTTGTAATATCAATATAGTATACGCAATCAACAAAAAGCAAATAATCATTTTCTGAGTAAGTATATGGCTAAATAATAAAAACAAATCCTAGAAGTGTTGATGCCAGACGCTCTGTTCTCTCAGTTATGGATAGAAATGTATTTTTTACTTTAGACAAGTAATATGTAATAGGCTATAAGTAATATAATAATAATATAAGTTATATAAAAATAGGCTAAGAAGTAGTAGAATAATTGGAAAGAATATTTTTAGGTTATGTAGACTTTTTTTTTTTTTTAAGTGATGAGGTAACGTTATAATTTTGGGATAGTTGAAGTTATTATTGTATAGTAAAAATACATTCAATCAGTATTGTCACGGAAAGATCGCTATACTATTAAGAGATAGCAAATCAATTTTTTCCTATATTAACCATGTAGTTCAAAAATGAAACTAAATAGTGGTAATTTTAAAGGTTCAAGGCTTTTGTAGAACATACAAATGTAGACCCTAACACTTTAACACAATACATAACATATTGTTACAATGCATTTTGCGATGAAGCAACAAAAAATTTGGTTATGTAAGGAAATATTTTGAGGTTATGTTGATAATTCTTGTCAAAAAAGACTGTTTTACTCTTGAAAATAACTAATCTATGTGTGTATGTAGATTATGTTACTATTTATTGTTATATTTTGTGCTTTTATGTAATATGGCAGACTCTAAAAGCTCGTTTCATAAAAAAATTCGAGTTTTATTAAATTTTGTGGAAAAAATTTTTTCTACTCATTTTCTATATTTTTCTACTATTCTCTATTTAATTGTTTACAAATAAAAAAGAAAAGTTGTCTGCTTTTCTTTTGAAATTATTGATTTTGAAATAAAAAATGACGAAACTTAACACTGTGCTACTACTAGTGAGAAAGTGAGCAAAGTTAACACAAGAAAGTTTACTTAAATTGAGACGTTCCCTTTCTATACTTTGTGTTTTATACATAAACAGTTGCTTAGGGAGGAGAAAGCGAGCTTGTTTTTGACCAAGAGATGTGCGAATTAGAGTCAGACAGGAGCTAGCTATTGGCAAAATGTATATTTTGGCTACTATGACGATCCTTGGAGCGTTCACTCGTTTAGTGTTCAATTTTTCACAGAGCGAAATTTGATTTAAATAGTCATTAGGTGAGTAATAGCTTGTAGTTGGAGTATATTCTTAAATAGTAACTTCTTAAAAGTGTCTACTCTAGTTAATTTGTGTATGATATTCAACAATTTGGAAGTGGGATACAGTTAAGTGTAAAGGAGTAGCGAAACAAAATTTTTTGCGTAATACTGGTTATGTCAGAAAGGGACAAGTTCGATTTAGATTTCAAAGCAGCATAGGTACTAAGAGGCCCACCATCAACGATTGTAATAACTAATAGTAACAATAAAACGATTGTCATTACAACTAATAATAATACAAATAAAAATGAGGTTCTGGCCAAAATAGAGCGAATGAAGATTCAACGTAAAAACGAACATGAAAACTTGCAGGCGCCGGTCAATAAACTGCAATTATAGCTAGCAGAAAAACAAATTTTTCCAATTTCTGATAACCGGGTGACTGCTTTGTCTAGTTCAGCTGATGTCATTTGCAAATTTTATAAGAACAAATAACGTGCTGTATGTATGAACAGTTGCTTAGGAAGGAGAGAGTGAGCATTTGATTTTGACTAAGCAATGTGCGAATAGAAGTTTGACAGAAGTCAGCTGTTTGCAAAATATGTATTTTGGCGACAATAATAGACTTTGAAGAGTTCACTCGTTTAGTGTTTAATTTGTCTTGGTGTGCAACCTAACTTATGTATCCATTAAGTATCAAGTGGCTTGTAATCGGAATATATAATAATAAAATCAATTAAGCTTAAAAAAGTCTATCCCAGTTTATTTGGGTATAATTTTGAACAAGTATATGTGTTTAACAAGATCAATAATATAATATGAGATTATATTGTAAAAATATAAAACAGGATAGAGAAATATAGCTGTTTTAGTGAGTACCTTTATCCACATAATTAATTTTTACTTGTTTAAGAAGTTTATATTTTTGCACATACATTTGTACTAATTTTAGAAAAATTCACTTTACAGATTTGTAGAAATGGATTTTACTATTTTTGTGAATAATACTATATTTTATACATGAAGGTAAGTTCTTTTATCAATAAATAAGATGTATGGAATACTTCAAAGAAACAAATGCGAAAAGGCAAAACGGTAATGCTCAGTTTTATCGGGTGTAGAAAGCAAGTACATAAGTATTAGAAATTTATGTGACTGTAGAGGACAAATAAAATTTTCTAAGTCAACTATAGAAAATTATTTCCTGTACTTTATTTCAATATTGAAATCATTTTTGAAATCATTTTTGTGAATCATTTGAAATCATTATAAATATACAATAAATATTTGTACTTCTTTGAAGCAATACCTACAGTTGACTGTTAGAAAAAAGGTATATCAAGTTAGCTGGTCAAAACCTTATGCCACAGTTGGGTTAGGCAAATAATTTGTCACTAATTTGTTGCTGATTTGTAACGCCAAAAATAATTTTGTCACTTATTCCACTCTATAAATGATTATAAAAATGCTAGCACTATATCAAGCTAGAGAACAGCCACAGAGGTATATCTTTAAATAAAAAGGAGATGAAAAAAACAGAATTGGGGACATAATAAGTCGCTTATTTGACACTGAGAGGTAAGCCAAATGCCAACGTTTTTGCTGATTCCCACGAAACCACGATATGATTTTCGCCAATCAGCACATGAAGCTAGCTAGCCATCAACGGGTATCATCAAATAAAAAGGAGATAGCAGCCGAAAAGTAATAATACTTAATTTTTAACAAATACAGACAGTTTAAGGGAAAGCCTAGGTAGGATAAGTTTTCTACTATTCATACATTCCTGGGCAGACAGAGAGAGATAGTGAGAGAAAGAGAAAGAGAATAGAATATACTTTAATTAAGGCTAAGGACTCAGGGTTCACGATAGCCTGTTCATAATACAAATGCCCTTTAATAGGTCCAACCAGGAGTGCACACAGGCACGCTAACAAATGATAAGCCAGACTAGCACATTACAACAGTAAGCATACTATGTTGATGAAACAGTAAAAGATAAGAATAAAAAAATAGACTAATTATAAAATTAATATTCATAATAAAAAAAATTAAAAGTTAGAAAGCTTAGTTCTAGTAAACACTGTTAGTAACACAGAATCACAGCAAGTATCATCACTTAGTCACTTAGTCACTTCAGGCGTGGATCTTGGCTTATGGAGTAGGTAAGGTCACATTTAAACAAATAAGACGCAAATCTAGTACTAAGCTACAATGAAATATAATTCCATATCCTAGAAGCCTGTGCAGTAAAACTATATTTGAAGAATTCAGTTCTTGCCCAGGAAACCACAAGATCAAGAGAACAGGCAGCACGATCAGGCTTGAATCTCTCAAGTATGATGTCGAGGCTGTGCGCAGGATGAAGGCAAGTATGTAGATGACCATATAGTTCATTCTACAATCAAGACTTAAAACAATATACTTTTAGTGGATGGGAGATATGTGCCCCTATTTACGTGTGTCCTCAATGAAAGGCAAGGCAGCATTCTTACATCGACCGAGCTTCAACTTCACCTCAGACAAGAGCCCCAAAAGGAGAGGAGAACAGTAATCCAAATGCGGGAAAACCAAAGATTTTACTAGTAGTAGCCTAAAGTCTTTCGAAGGCAATCCCCACAACGCCTAAGCCAAGAAAGAGTACCGACGCATTTTCTGAAAACTATGGCACAGTGGGCCATAAAGTTTAGCTCCGCATAAATCGTAACTCCAAGCAGTATGAGTTCATGAGTTTGGCCAAGAGAGAAAAAGAGAGAGAGAGAGAGAGATCGAAAGAGAGAGATAATAAAACGAACTTATTTATGCCAAGGTCTGAACAACCGTATGACAAAGCATATTTACAAAAGAATTTTCACATAATAGAATATTACAAGTTTTCAAGTTATCTGTATAAGTTTTTTGACATACAACAGAAATTTAAAAAAAACATAGAAAAATATGCTATGGATTATTTTTTAAGCGATTTTTGTACGATACAAACCATAGCAGTCATAGTGACACAATTTAAATTATTTCGAGATACAATAGGTAATTATCTGAACTACCAAGGTAACAGTTAGTGTACAATAAATAATGTATACACATAGGTTCATACGTTGGTTTAACAAACGCTCGTGGTGTGTTACATTCTGTCTCTCTGTCTCTTTTTAGATACCTGTTTACTGTGCATACTTGCGCACGTGCGCAAATTTTGTTGGCTCTTAAGCTCTGACGGGTTAAGATGGAGTTTGAATAAACGCAATTGGGAGACCCCGGGAAAACTTTGCATTATGGTCAAATATTAATATTTTAAAGTAATCCTGTTTACAAATAAAAAATTTAAAAAAAATGATAAATAAATGATACTAATTCTCATATTAATTCATCACTTACTACAAGCGCAAAATATTGAAAAAAGCAATGAAAAAAGCCTACCTGTATGAGTACAATAGAGTAGAGTAGTGTATTTGTTTTAGCTAAGGACCTGCGGTCCGTATTAGCATAGGGTCAAGACAATAGAGAGAGAGAGAGAGTTTAGATTAGATTAGATTAGATTAGATTTATTTATTTAACAGACCAAGGACTCAGAGACGTGCTCAGTGGTCCTGTATAGCCTAAGCCGTATATACATTAAAACATTACAAAGAGGCTACTGAATATTAGCGCCCAAGAATACTTTTGCAATCATTAAATTATTAAAATAAAATAATAAAGAAAAAAGAGAAAAAATAAAATAAAATAAACATAATAAAATTAATAAAAATGTAGTTAAGAAGAAATAAAATCAGTAACAGTAGTAATGGAAAGCATAATTAGATAAATAGTACAACACAATAAGATTTTGTTACAACTAACAATTAACGCGAGTTGTCGAACACAAGCTGGTAGTATTTATAGGTTTACTCTTGAAACACGGGCGCTGGTGTAATTAACGAATAGCAACTGGCAAACCATTCCACACACTAGCGCTACCAACGAAGAAAGAATCATGTAGAAACTTAAGGACGGCAGGAGGGATAAGCAGATCCAGGTGAGATGCCCGTTGTGCCAGGCATATCATGAGGTCTAAATTTAAATTTACACGGTAGATACAGTGGCTGACCACTGCGAAAGATTGAAGCAAGGAATAAAAGCGTAAGATATTCAACCCAAAGGGAATAGGGAAGCATTTTAAATTTTTTGTAATCAGATGTGATGTGCTCGTGCTTGCATATTCTTGTTACGAAGCGGATAGCCGCATTCATACTCCTGGAAAGTTTTGTTTTAAGCTCCTTAGAGAGTGGAAAAAACAAACCAGCACAGTAATCAAAGTATGGCAGTATAAGCGATTTGACCAAGGTAAGCTTACAATCTCGAGGAAGTGACGATCCGCATTTACGAAAGCGATAC